GGAGCTGTGCTGGGAAGCAACCTGTGGAAAATGTTTAGCGGGCTGAATCTGAAAAACATTGACTAATAATCTCAAAGAACATTATGTGCCATTAATCATGATGATGGCTTTAAAAAGGTACCAGAGGGGCACGTGGGCGGCTCAGTTGGTTATGCCTCTGCCTTTCGCTCGGGTCATGATCTCAGGGTCCTGAGATCGAGCCCCAAGTGGAGCTTCTTACTCAGCCGGGAGTCTGCTTCTCCCTCTCCCACACCCCCACCCCCATGCTCTCTCTAATAAATAAAATCTTTTTAAAAATATATAGATTTTATTTATTTATTTGACAGAGAGAGAGATAGCGAGAGCAGGAACACAAGCAGGGGGCGTGGGAGAGGGAGAAGCAGGCTTACCGCCGAGCAGGGAGCCTGATGTGTGACTCAATCCCAGGACCCTGGGATCATGACCTGAGCCGAAGGCAGACGCTTAACGACTGAGCCACTCAGGCACCCTAAATAAATAAAATCTTAAAATAAAAACGTACCAGAATATGGTGGTAGAATGTTATCTACTGCATATCCCTTTTGTCAAAATAATATTATGTGTTGGGTGCCTGGGTGGCTCAGTCGTTAAGCGTCTGCCTTCGGCTCAGGTCATGATCCCAGGGTCCTGGGATCAAGTCCCACATTGGGCTCCCTGCTCGGCAGGAAGCCTGCTTCTCGCTCTCCCACTCCCCCTGCTTGTGTTCCTGCTCTCGCTGTCTCTCTCTGTGTCAAATAAATAAATAAAATCTTTAAAAAAAATAATAATAATATTATGTGTAAAAATAGCTATTTGCCCTGTTATTGTGAGTAAATAGGCACAAGAAGGAGGAACAATTGGGACACTTGGATCACGGATAAAGGACAAGCACTAGGTATAACTCGGTGGGTCCACATTCCTGAGAATTCTGAAATCTGGTTATGGGAAGTGCTATGAAACACTCAAACCAAAGTCTATTAGGAGTGACTACTACTCATGTGATCTAAGCCTGGGGGAATTAACATTTTTGAAGTACCAAATGTATTTCCTAATTGTACAAAGGCAGTTAGTACTCAATGACATGTCTGCTGTTGGCCCATTTGAAATAAGAGAGCTTTAGTGGAATTAGGAGCTGCTTAGGAGTATTTGGTCAGGCAGATTTGTTGTTGTTGTTTTTTTTAAAGATTTATTTATTTTGAGAGAGAGAGCGCAGGAGTGCACAGGGCAGGGGGGAAGCGGCAGCAGAAGGAGAGAATCCCTCAAGCAGACTCCCCATGGAGCACAGAGCTTGATCCAACGACCCATGAGATCAGGACCCTAGCTGAAACCAAGAGTCAGATGCTCAAAGGACTGCGCCACCCAGCCATATGTTTTTTATTTATTTATTTATTAATTTAAAGATTTTATTTATTTATTTGAGAGAGAGAATGAGAGAGAGAGAGCATGAGAGGGGGAGGGTCAGAGGGAGAAGCAGACTCCCTGCCAAGCAGAGAGCCCAACGCGGGACTTGATCCCGGGACTCCAGGATCATGACCTGAGCCGAAGGCAGTCGCTTAACCAACTGAGCCACCCAGGCGCCCTGTTTTTGTTTTTTTTTAAAGATTTTATTTATTTATTTGAGAGAGTGAGCGTGAGTGGGGAGAGGGGCAGAGAGAGAGGGAGAAGCAGGCTCTCCACTGAGTAGGGAGCCCGATGCTGGGCTGGATCCCAGGACCCCGGGATCGTGACCTGAGCTGGAGGCAGAGGCTTAACCAACTGAGCCACCCGGGTGCCCTGGCATATTTGTTTTTAATGAGGAAAGACATACTGCTGAAAAAGACCTACTAAGGGGCACTGGGGTGGCTCAGTTGGTTAAGTTAAGCATCCAAGTCTTGATTTCAGCTCAGCTCATGTTATCAGGGTTGTGAGATCACGCCCTAGTACTGGACAGATAATACTGATGTTAATGATCAAATATAGAGTGCTTCCTGTAGTGGATTAATGGGTTCTGCTGCAGGTTTCTTCTTACTGGAAACCAGTATCTGTCAAACTATGTAACTTGGTTATGTTCTCAAGATGTTTTGAATCCTAAAAAAACAGAGATATGGCCTCTGATCTATATTCGTATGAGAAATAATATATTGTATTGTAATATATTGATAGATTGTAGGGGCGTCTGCCTGGCTTAGTCAGCGGAGCCTGCAGCTCTTGGTCTCAGGGTTTTGAGCTCGAGTCCCACGTTGGGTGTAGATATTACTTGAAAAGAAAAGAAAAGAAAAGGTAGATTGTGTTGGAGAGGACAAAATAATTACACCATGATGGGGCATGGTAAGCTGATGGTGGCTCAGTAACCTGAGCATTTGACTTCAGATCAGGTCGTGATCTCGGGGTCCTGGGATTGAGCCCAGCATTTGGCTCTGTTCAGCGGGGGTCTGCTTCTCCCCCTCTCTCTGTCCCCCCATCCAGCTCATGCTCTCTCTCTCAAATAAATAAAGAAAATCTTAAAAAAAAATTACATGAAGATTTTTTTTTGAAAGAGTGTGTGTGTGCATTCACACAAGAGGGGGAGAGAAGGGGCAGAGGACAGAGAGAAAACCTTAAGCGCACCTCAATCTCACGACCCTAAGATCATGACCTGAGCTGAAACGAAGTGTCAGATGCTTAACCGACTAAGCCACCCAGGTGCCCCTATACCAAAATTTTCTGATTTATACTGTAACTACAATGGTATTGCTATATATGGTATAACATAGGAGGCATAAAGAAATTAATATTGTAGATACTAATACTGAAATTAACGATCAAATATAGTGGGAGACGGAATTAAAGCTATCTCAGGACATTATCCCTATGGAGGAGAACTGGTCTGAGAAATATTTAGAGTTGATTAATGATAGATTAATAATTCAGCAGATGTATACCATAAGGAGCAGACACTTACAGATCCAAGAAGCGAAAGAACTGTATAGTTACAAAAACATGGGAAAGTATAAATGGATGTTTAGCTATCTGTTTAAATCCATACCAACCCCACACTGGATACTGTAAAATGTTTGGATTCTGCATGTACATTTTTATTTTCTTATATGATTATGAGATATTGCAAGGCAAGTAAATGATATCACACTAAGGATTACCGTTTTATTAGAAATAAGACTTGACAATGGGTTATGGGGGTGGACTGCTCTGTGTGGGTTAATTCCTGAAATTAGCTTGAGCTGTTTGGCTAAATTCCTGTATGGCACTGACTTTGGTAAAGGCATAGCATGAAACATACTCATTAAAAGTGTTGTGAGGGCAATGAACACATGAAAAGATGCTCAACATCACTAACCATTAGGAAAATGCAAATTAAAACCACAGTCAGAATCTCTTTCATACACTAGAATGGCTATTATCCAAAAACAGAAAACAAGTTGGCCTGGATATGGAAAAATTGGAACCCTTGTCCATTGCCAGTGGGAATGTAAAATGGTACAAGTCCTATGAAAAACAGTATGGTGGTTCCTCACAATATTGAACATAGAATTACCATTTGATCTACTAGTTCTACTTCTGGGTATATATCCAAAAGAAATGAAAGTAGGGGTTTGAAAAGCAGAATGTGCATAGCAGAATTATTCACAATACCTACAGACAGAAACAACCCAAATGTAGATCAAAATAAGAACAGATAAATAAAATGTAGCATATAATAAAATGGCATATTATTCAGCCTTAAAAAGAAGGGAAATTCTGATATATATACCACAGCATGGATAAATCCTGGAGACATTTTGCTTGATGAAATAAGTCAGAAATAGGGGCGCCTGGGTGGCTCAGTTGTTAAGCGTCTGCCTTTGACTCAGGTCATGATCCCAGGGTCCTGGGATCGAGCCCCGCATTGGGCTCCCTGCTCAGCGGGAAGCCTGCTTCTCCCTCTCCCGCTCCCCCTGCTTGTGTTCCCTCTCTCTCTGTCTCTCTCTCTCTCTGTCAAAAAAAAAAAAAAGAGAAGTCAGAAATAAAGTAACAAATATTGTATGACTCCACTTATATGAGGTGCCTAAAAAGTAGTCACATTATAGACTCAGAAAATAAAAATGGTGGTCAGCAGAGGCTAGAGGGAAGGAGAAATGGGAAGTTATTGTCTAACGGGTATACAGTTTCAACATGGGATCATAAAGAAGTTCTGGAGATATGTAGTAGGGGTGGTTGCACAACAGTGGGAATGTATTTAATGCCACTGAACTGTACACTTAAAAATGGCTAACGTTTAAATTTTATGTTATATATATTTCACCACAATTAATGAAAAGTGTTACAAAGAATTTTGGGGCAGTTTGTACCAGGTTCTGAATACTGATAGCAGTGAGACTAATGGTTTATATTTGGTCTCTCTGTGAGCTCTCTGAAGGGCTTTGCTGTTGTACAGCAGGAATAAGCCAATATGACCAAAACCGCAAAAATCTCTAGCTGAGATTCCATTTTGGGTCCCCTGTTTCCAACGTGTTCTGTGTGTCCATCTGTGGTTCCTTATCCACGAGAGGAAAGAGCATCCTGCCCGGCCCTTACTGAGGGAGGACAATGACAGCCTGCACCTGGCTTCTCTGAACCCTTCTGTGAGACAGCCATGGACTGTGACAGGTGTTCTTACTTTAATGCTGTTGCTGTACTATACCCCTTTCCTATAATAAATTACAGCTTTGTAAGCATTGTCATTTTGGGTCCCGAGTCTTCCTTAGCAATTAAACTGTGTTTAACTGCCACTATTGTTGTGGTTATTATTAGGAAAGGAAATACAATGAATGAATTTATGTTGCTCCGAGGAGAAACAACTAAGATCATGGGTGAAAGATACAAGAAGGCAGATTTATCTTGCCTTGTAAGGTATTGAGCAAGTCTCTAGACATGTTCACTAAACATTAAAGTAGAAGGTAGATGCTCATCTACTGTAAGATTACTGCATTGGGTACCTCAAGGTACCCACCGAACCCTAAGAACTTAGATTTTTTAATTTGGAAAAACTTTTTCAATAGGAACCATACCTGTGATGTTAGCTTCCCAGCAGTCTGCATTCGCTCAATTTCTGCAGGAGATTTGATCAGCCGGAGGCGCTGTACCAGCTGCTGGACAGCCCGAACTTTATTCTTGCTCCTGGCTTTGACCTCAGTCAGATGCTGCATGTAGTCTGAGTGAAGCTGTGCGTGAGAGGGCCTCATCCAGTCATACCAGACCATATTTGTCTCATCTTAAAATGAGCAGCAAAAAATAAATAAATAAATAAAAATTAACAAGAAATACCAACTGTTATAATGACTTGAACAAGAGTGAAAACTGTAAAACCCGTGACATATAACTCTCTCAGGACTGAAGCAACTGAAGGGTTATGTATCACTGGAAAGGCTATTCCCTGCAAATGGCAAGATATTCTGACACCGAATATACAGCTTTTCTGCCCCCAAACTTCAGGGTTCCTTATAAAGATGGTAGATGGGACTAAAGCTTTTTCTCCAGCTTTGATTTCATTATTTATTAAAGAACTCCACACCACAACTGAGCTAGAGGCACTGTTGAATAACTAAACATAAGAGGAGTGAAAAAAAATACTCAGATCTTGACCTCCTGGTTAAAAGTATTCTCTTCCTTTCCAATCTCAGTGTTAGTGAAAGGAGGTTCTTATCTCATTTAGGAGCAATTCTTCATGGCTATGGAAACACTCTAGTGGATAATGTGTGCTAACCCATCTGCCATATATTCTCATTAGACAACCACGTTCTCCTTTTAACTCTAGAGACCCAAGGAACTGGTCTCTATGTGCCTGAGATATAAGATGTGAAGGCCCATAATGAAAATGTTCCCACTTACACCATGTCTCCATTCGTCCCTTTCTTTTTTCCTGACGTGGCCTAAGAGCAGCATTCCCAACAACTGAAGTCTGAAGGTTGTACGTTTTATACAAAGTATTTGGGAAAGAAGAGGGGAAAAAATCCTACAAATTTTGATTGGTTATATATTAGTGATACAACCTCCTAAATATTTTCATTTTAAAATAAAAATGGTTTTAAGTATATTATATGTCAAACGCTAATCTTATTTTTAATAGAAATTTAATTGTACTTTTAAAACAGTAAAACCACTTCTACTACCTGTTCTTAGGGTATGAAATCATAGCCCAACTTTTTTTGGTTTTTAAACTTTTAAATAAGTATGATTTCACGAATCTTTTCCTTTGCCTACTACTTTTATCTAGTAAACTACTAACATTAAGAATGGTGAATGAAAAGTACTTTTGAGAAATACATTTGGTGTAAGGCTTTATTTAACAGTACTAGGTTGATGAAATTTACACTGTTGAATAGGACAGCTAGCGACTAATTAAAAAAATAAAAAAGCTAAAAAAAAAAATTCTGACTTTGTGAAGATATAAAAAAGTTCCACTAATTTAGCTAAGTAATTACCTCTGTAATATAGAGAATACTTGCATAAAGCAATGAAAACAATTCAAACATATTAGAACTTGCATATTCAAATGAGTATTTTCTTTCAAAGGAGTCTTTGCAGGAAACAAGTCCAATAAATTCCATGATCACTGGAAACAATTTTGGAATTTTTTTTAGAAACTGACTTCAGAGATGATTTATAAACCATACAAGAAAATCAGACTATAATTTTACAACCATACATATTTTGTCTAAAATTAGTACTTTCCAACTTGATCAGCTATCTTATTTACCAAATTTGGCTCTAAGCGACTTTTGGACACTTCAAAAAATAAAATGCTTCCCAGAGCTGTAGATTTACAAGAATCACTAAAGATAGTTTATAATGTAGTGTAGGTTCTGAAAAGTTCCAGAAAAGGAATCCTAAAACATTATGAGTGATTATAATTTTACCAGAATAAACGTAGAGAAAAACGACCTTTTTGAGGGGCATGGACTCAACTGTGTACTATATGAATCACCTGAGAATCCTGTTTATAGTCAGATTCTGATCTAGTAGGTATGGAGTGGGGGCCTAAGATTTTACATTTTCAATTATCTATTATGTATTTGTAATTCTAATATGTGTCACCAGGTTATTCTGATGCTGGTGATGCACTGATCATCCTTTGAGAATACTGCTTCTTTCTGAAGAGTTGGCAGAAGTAATAAGCAGTGATCAGAGGCCAATAGACTGGTCAGTGATCTGGAAGAATGACCTATGCTCATTCTGCACTTTAAGTCTTGTGGAAAAGATTTATGATCCTTTCATGGTGCTCAAGGAAATGCCGCTATGATAATCATTTTAGAAAATTAAGAACTTTGTCTAAATAGGCAAGGAAGGTCTTAATCCAAAATCTGGCCTGTGATTTGATTTGACTTCTGCTCCCATTTGTTACCTTTCAGTTTTGGTACTAGATGTTGAAATTCTTCCAGTGTATAGGCTTCGTCCACTCCCGTTAAAGCTATTGCTCCATCAGTGCCAGATCGTGGGCCATCCCAAAGTTCTCGACTAGGGTCTCTCCGAGGCACAAAAAGCATGGCCTTATGCGCTGGTAACTGCTTGCCAGGGAGGCTTTGAAGGACCAGAATGCTATCGGGCTCTTGGAATCCACACAGGTACAGGAAATTGTTGTCTTGGTGGAAAGTATAGGGGATATCATTGCTCATGTAGTATGTAGGGTTGGACAGGAGAACCACTGTCTGGTCTGTCCCACTCTGCCCTTCTGTTTCCTTGTGGATCAGAGACATTAGTTTGTGCCTGCGAAGTGCATATTCCACTTGAGATAGTCCTGGCGTCACCTCTCCTAGAAATGACAAATAACAGTGATGCTTTGCATTTACATAGTGCCAAACTACTTTTAAGGTAGCTTAATATTAGATGAAGACACCCAAGATCATTTCTTCAATTTATGCCAAATCTCCTCATAGCACATGGGGAATTAAGGAGATGACCCAGGTTTCAAATTTTCTATTCCACTGCAAAAAGGTTGGAAGAAATGATAGTTAAATGTGTTCCTGCCAGAAAACTGGAATCATGACCCCATAAGAGCTCTTTCATTCTTTTACTCATTCAATCAAATCTTTACTGAACAAATCTTTATTATGTGGAAGGCATTGTTAGGCATATAATTAAGGTTGACCTGAAGTGTCAATATAAAAGGTGAGAAGGATGACATTATCCGTGTATGACTTTCCTGAAAGAATGTAAGCTCCATGAGGACATAGATTTTTGTCTGTTTAATGTTATATTCCCAGAGCCTAGAATAACAACTGGAATGTAGTGGGCATTTGATAAATATTTGTAAAATGATGTATAGTTTTTAACATAATAGAGTTTAAGGCCAAAGAGCTTTCCCCCAATTTCAAGAGTTAAAAATAAATTTTTCCTTCTGAATTTCTAGTTCCAATTTTATTTCCTTTCTAATAGGACTTTTCACTCTCTACTTTGTATTAACAGTAGAGCTGGGTACACATAACTTCCTTGAAGTTTCCCTCCCTGAGGGAAAATCTTTGTATTTTCCAAGTGGGACCATCTTTGTACTTTCCAAAAACTCTTAACAATATTATCTACCTCTTGGGGCTGTCATGAGAAGCAACCTTGATAAAGCATGTGGTTCTTAAGCAATGAAGACTCCCCAAAGAATCTTTAGAAGCTATGGATTCAGGGGCACCTGGGGGGCTCAGGTGGTTAAGCTTCTGACTCTTGATTTTGGCTCAGGACATGATCTCAGGGTTGTGAGATGGAGCCCTAGATGGGGTTCCATGCTCAGCAGGTAGTCTGCTTCTCTCCCTCTCCCTCTGCCCCTCCCCTTGCTTGGGCACGTGCACCCTCTCTCTCAAATAAATAAATCTTAAAAAATAAATAAATAAAAGCTATAGATTCATTGTTTACTAAACTGCACGCAGGCACACACAAACTTTTTTGACATATATTTCAAGAGTTGTCTGATTCACCTAAGCCCACTCACAAACTCTTATTAGGAACCTGTGTTATGAAGTGTTACATATTAGTTCTCAATATTAGTACCCAGCACACTGCCTGGTTGCTAGCCCAGTGGTGACTGGGTGAGTGTTTCCCTTCTTTTTTTTTTTTTTAAAGATTTTATTTATTTATTTGAGAGAGCGAATGAGAGAGAGAGCATGAGAGGGGGGAGGGTCAGAGGGAGAAGCAGACTCCCCGCCGAGCAGGGAGCCCGATGCGGACTCGATCCCGGGACTCCAGGATCATTGACCTGAGCCGAAGGCAGTCGCTTAACCGACTGAGCCACCCAGGCGCCCGAGTGTTTCCCTTCTGTATTGGAAATTATGTGTGCTTTCACTTGAGGTTGCAAAATAAAAGAACTACTAAAACAATCACTCATGAAAGCTGTATCCCTCAGCCGACACCTAGCAATAATAATAGTAAAACACCACCTAATGCTTACTGAATACTTCTTTTTTTTTTTTTTTTTTTTTTTAAGATTTTGTTATTTGACAGAGAGAGAGAGAGCGAGAGAGGGAACACAAGCAGGGGGAGTGGGAGAGGGAGAAGCAGGCTTCCTGCTGAGCGGGGAGCCCAATGCGGGGCTTGATCCCAGGACCCTGGGATCATGACCTGAGCCGAAGGCAGATGCTTAATGACTGAGCCACCCAGGCGCCCCTTACTGAATGCTTCTTATGTGTCTGGTACTATTCTAATTACTTATAGGTATCAGCTCATTTAATCTTTACATTGACTTCGTGATGTGGATTACTATTATTTCCTGTAGTAGCCAGTCTCCACATCCAAGCATGGAAAGATAGCCATGAAATACTGCTGTATGAAAAAATTACAGTACAAGATGGATAATATGATCCCAATTATTAAAATAAAACAAAACACAAAAACAAAGAGCAAAAAAATAATTAGAAAAAAAAACCAAAAACAATGTCTGGGGCACCTGGGTGGCTCAGTTGGTTAACTGTCTGCCGTTGGCTCAGGTCATGATCCTGGGGTCCTGGGATCGAGCCCTGCATCGGGCTCCTTGCTCAGTGAGGAGTCTGCTTCTCCCTCTCCCTCTGCCCCTTCCCCTGCTCATGCATGCATGTTCTCTCTCAAATAAATAAAATCTTTTTTAAAAACGGAAAGAACCCCAAATTTTATAGTGGTAATCTATGGGGATTGAGTTAAGACTGAGATTTTCTTTTTAACATGCTGTATTTATTTAGAGAGAACATGTGCCAGTGGGAGGCAGAGGGCAAAGGGAGAGGGAGACAGAGAATCTTAAGCGGGCTCCACGCCCAGTGCTCGATTTCACATAGAGCTCGATTTCACAACCCTGAGATCATGACCTGAGCTGAAATCAAGTTGGTCACTTAACTGACTGAGCCACCCAGGTGTCCCTTTCTAACATCTTTTTAATATTATTTGAATTTTGTTTCAATGAGTATATACTCTCAAAATTAAAATCCCAAATAAAGAGAAAAAGAGAGCTCATGGGCAGTCCATGTCATACTCATAACCTACAATGGTTCTTTGTTGTCCATTAGATCAAATTCAAACTCTTAAGTAGATTTTAATGCTCTCTACCAGGTGATTCCAATTTATCTGGTCAACTTTTAAAAAACAGCTTGAGATATTATTTACATAGCATACAATCCACCCACTTAAATGTACTATTTAATGGTTTTTGGTATAGTCACAGAATTGTACAAACATTACAAAAATCAACTTTAGAGTATTTCATCACTCCCAAAATAAACCCCTGCCCATTTCCTCCCAATCTGCCCAAGCCCTTGGCAACCACTAATCTATTTTCTGTCTCTATGGATTTGTCTATTGCAGAAATTTCATATAATGAAATCACATAATATATGGTCTTCAGTGATTTGGCCAACTTTTTTTAATCATTTCTCCAATTATTCTGAAATTAATTCCTTCTTATGTCTTACATAGGTCCAATCTGTTCTTTCCCTATTACCCTGCTTACAATGTGTCCCTTTTCCAAAATCTCTTCTCCCTCCACAGCAATTCCATTCCCAAGATTTCAGGCTCAACGCATGTTTGTTTTTAGACTCCTCTTATTCAAAGGGCTTTCCTGATGAGCCCAGGTCACGTTAATTTGTCCCTCTTATTTTTTTTAAGTTAATTGTTTCATTTTCTTACATATACATCCTATAGTTGTGTATAAAGGTAATCACATCATACTGAACTCTTTCAATAAATATTTTCCCCCTTTTCCTTTGCTGTTTGATTCGTCACTTCCCTTTCCTCCTTCTACCCACATGAATACCTCACCCACACTGGTAATCTAGCATGTATCCTTTCCTATTTTTCTCAATAATCATATACTTGCATTTAGGGTTTTTTGGTTACTAGTGTTTTACAAACATGGGATACTACACATTCTTCTGTATCCTGCTTTTCTATCACAGTGACACCTCATAGAAATCCCTCCCACCAAGTCATCTTGCATAGCTTCTATTCATTCCGCTTGATGTCTCCATATATTTCTTGGGGTGATGTATCATAACTTACTGGTCCATTTCTATACTGGTGGGCATGTATATTATTTTCAGCTTTTTGCTGTAATAATAAAGATCTTTGTACTTATCCTGGTACCTTTATGCCTTATGTACTGGTGCTTTCTATGGGATAGTCCCAGGACAGACATTGCTGGGTCAAAGACCTTTGAATTTTCTTAGTACTCATGTTCAGTACATGAAACTCAGTTGTTTATGATTGCCTTGGAAGAGTCTAGTTGTTTTACCTATGTATAGTTTATCTCTCCAGCAAACTCTATAGCTTGCATTTCATTAATAAAATAAATTAACTTTTATTTATGTATAAGAGAAAAAAAAATCCACATTTTTATTGATGAAGTTGGTAAGAAATAAAAGGTAAGTAAGCCAACAGAGTCAGTCCTGGAAGAGCTCACATTGCATTCCCCACCCCCCCACCCCGGGACTGAAGTGGCTAAGAGTCCTCTAGGGTTCTTGGGCAGAATACTGAACTTTGTACCAGAGCCCAGGAAAAGCTTAACTATTTATCTCTGATAATTATTCATGTTAAGTCTGCCACTGTTACCCAACATTGGACATTTCCCAATGTACCCAAGCAGTAAATACCCTCTTATAAAAGCAGAGGCTGGTTGTAACTGGTGGATCATCCAACCTTTCCTTTTTGTCTTCTCTTTTCTCCCTTTCCTGTGCTTTGCTTTGGTTTCCTCACAGCTATAGTCCATGTAATAAAACTAAATTAGAAATCAGTTCATTCTGTGTTTGTTTTTAATTTTGGGAAATAAGAAAATTCACAATTTTAATGACCTTAATATATGTGTTCTCTCCTGTTCTCATTAATAACAAGGCATATACAGAGATATATTGTAAAGAAACTTCTGAAAAAAGATACAACTATTTGGAAATCAAAACAGGATTGGAAAACTATCTTTTACTCCCTTCAAGATACTCCTCTACCTCCTCAATCCAATTTCATACAAATGACTACATGAGAAACATTTAAAACACTGGCTACCTTTTCCTAAACTTACAAATCATCAACGCTATAGAGTGGACCATTAACTAAATGCTTCCAAACTTCTGAAATCTCAAAGTAACAAAGAACTCTTTGGTCATGACAAAAAATTATCCAAGGAAAAAAAGACATCTTTTCTTATCATTTGAAGGAGGAAATAAAAAAGGTGTTATAAAGTAATGAACTTTAACCCTAGAGATAAACCTGGCAGTTGTTATGGCCTTTGATCATAAAACTAACCATTGTAATGGTCAATCTGGCCTGAATTTCTTCCAATAAAACCGTATCTGAATAGACATCCTGGTAACTTTG